TATATTTAAATACTCAGGCATTTATTTTTAGATGAGGTAACATTAATCTGCAACAGCCAGTAAGAGCCAATCATGTGATTCCCACAAATACCAAATTTGGGATGGTGGTGGTATTAGATTTGACTCCTTGTGGTGCAAACGGTATAAAGGGAGGCAGTTCAAAAACGGCCCCCCAGTCAGGCCTTCCTGACATGGCAGTCAGCCATCAGCCCCCATGGGCGAGTGTCCAGTTATTGGTCAGCTCAGCGTCAAAGCTGTTTGTCATTAGAAGCTTCCCCAACCTCATCAAGTGAGAACTTTGGTCACTGAGATAAGATTGGTTAAGAATAAATACCACATCCAGTGATTTCCTTCCTTTCTTTATAGCAAGCAAACTGAAGAGGATCCGGGTGTGCAAGAAATGGAAGCCTTAATAGACAAAATCCAGAAGCAACTGAAAGATCATTCATGCAAAGACAACATTCGTGAGGCATTTCAAGTTTATGACAAGGAAGCTTCAGGATATGTGGACAGAGAGATGTTCTTCAAAATCTGTGAATCTCTTAATGTCCCAATTGATGACTCCTTGGTTAAGGAGGTCAGTGTGAATTACTTTTCCAGGTCGATTACAGAAGCCAAGCATTGATCATTCTTTCCTAAAGGCAATTGCATGTATATTTCATTATAACTGGGGCAGGTTTAGGATGTTCAAATCAGGTCTCCTATTCTGTCCTGATTAGGTATTTTGCCCTGATTGTAGCATTGGCATTCTTTTCTAACTGCTATTGCGGGGCATCTCTTTGAGTGGGCCTGGGGCCAGATGGCACAGAGTGGTCGGTCGGCCATGTCAGGCTGAAGTAGGGCAACAGAGGCGATGAGGGGGGAGCTGCCAAAGGGAGACTCAAAGACAAGTCAATGGAGCAGGATGGTTGGCAGCGTTTGGTACCCTTCACAGCCAATGCCTACATTGGCCCATCAGCAGGGCTAGCATGGAAGAGGGCTGACTGCTGCCCAGAGGCAGAGCCATCTGTCAGTAGGGGTGGCATGGCCAGCTGCAAATGGAGAAGGAGCATGGAAATTTTCATCCTAGAATTTTCATGAGTGAGTCGAAGGGGGAGTTTCATGCCTTTTCTTCATTATAAACCCCTATAGGCAGGGTTCCCTTGAAAGTCAGAACAAAATCTTCCTCACAATTGCCAAGGACTCTGGCTTATTAGCAAGACATTCTCACTGATTAAGAACATTGTTCTGTAGACCTTTGAAAGATCCTTTAGCTGAAAGAAATGTTCAGAATTTAAGAGTCATTTAGGAAAGGGTTTTGTTTAGGGCTAAAATGACTAGGTTGGAGATGAGGATTTTCATAGACAGAAACATTAACAGGGAAGAGGGGAAGGGTATTTGTTCATGTGGGCCAAACACCCAGTTAGCCCCCAAACCTTAGATTGACAGCATGCTCAACTTTTGATTTTCAAGTCATTCATACTGTCTGACGTGGGAGCTGACATGGGAGAGAGGAATGACAGTCATCGGCAAGTGGAACAGGGAAGGGGGGTGGGTGGGGCAGATTTGCACATGTCTTATAAAAATAACCACAGCAGATCAGTCCCTTACCAGTCACCTGACAGAGTCACCACTGAGCTACCACTCAGTCCCCTGAGTTCCAGGGGACGTGGTTTGAGCAGTGGCATAACTAGATTCTTTCATTAGGCTGTGGTAACAGAAGCCTGCTATTTTAAAAGTCTTACTCCATATGAGCCGGGCGGACAAAGTCTTGTATTTGAATATAAAAACAATGAAAAGTGGTTGAAAATGACAATGCTCTTATAAATATGAATGTTATTCTTGAAATCTTGGGCAAGCCATTTACTCTGTCCAGCTTCGGTTTCATTAAGTATAAGCTGGTGATAATGTCTGACCCACCTACCAGGTTCACGGGATCATTTCAGAATCAGCTGAGGATATACAAATTCTGAACTGCTTTACAATCATTATATATACGTGCACTCTGCAGTTAAACTGAAGGAAGCCCTGCAGGTCTGTCTCACCTGTTCTCTTTGCTCTCTTCTGCAGTTAATCAGGATGTGCTCTCACGGAGAAGCCAAGATTGACTACTATAACTTTGTCCGTGCTTTCGCAAACTGACCTGGCTGATGAGAGAATGCAATACAATTTTTTGATGTTTGGACCTACACTTTGAAATATACCTTGTACTTTTCATAGAGGCATTTACAGAGTTCCTGAACTTATATTTCTTTTTTGGTTCTTGTATTTCACTACTACTAAAGTCTAAATTATTAATAAATTGGATCTTATAGGCCCTAAGATTGATGCCTTATTTGGGGTGATAGGGATATAGTGATGGTTAATTTTATGTGTTAACATGATTGGACCAGAGAGTGTCCAGATATTTCATTTAAACATTATTCTGGGTGTTTCTGTAAGGGTGTTTTTGAATAAGATTAACATTTGAATTAACAGACGAAGTAAAGCAGATTGCCCTCCGTAATGTGGGTGTGCCTCACCCAATCATTTGAAGGCCTGAATAGAACAAAAAGCCTGACTTTCCCCCAAACAAGAGAATTCCTCCTGCCTGACTGCCTTCAAATTGCAACATGGCCTCTTCCTGCCTTCAGACTCAAACTGAAACATTAATTCTTCCTGGGTCTCCAGCCTGCTGACCTTCAGACCAGAGCAACACCATCATTTCCCTGGTTCTCAGGCCTTTGGATTCGGATTGGAATTACACCCTCAGCTCTCCTGGGTCTCCAGCTTGCCAACTCACCCTGCAGATCTTGGGACTTGTCAGCCTCTGTAATTGTGAGCCAGTTCCTTATAATAATAACTCTCTGTCTATCTGTTTCTGTCTCTGTCTGTGTGTGTGTGTGTGTATGTATATATATGTATATATACATACACACACACACATGCATCCTATTGGTTCTGCTTCTCTGGAGAACCTTGACTAATACGGACATAGAATGATTAAAAGCAGGAAGGAAGAATGATGGTATTTGCTAGAAGCATCATTTGGGGTGTTGGAAATGAGCACACATTATTGCTGTTGCTGCTAGCCAACGGCCCCACCACTACCCATCTGTCTGCTCCAATATTGTAGGGAAATATTCCACATGTGTTTCAAACTATGGTTCTAGGCCCATTAGTAGACCTGCATTAAAAAAGGGGAATATAATAGAAAATATCAATGTGGTACTCCTCATAGTAGGGTATGTTTTTTTTTTTTTTCATGAATCTTCTGTTTCCACTGAGTATTTATTGGATCATGATGTATAATAAAATGTATTTGTTGGTATGGGTTGTAGTAAAAAAGAGAGAGAGAGAGAGAGAGATTTAATAAATATTCCTTTTAGAGAGCCTGGCCTTGATATAGGAGGGAAAGACTAATAGCAGTTACTGGTTCTCTAATAGCCATCACTGGCTTTTTAGAACGAAGGCTGCTCTTTGGTTGAAGTCAGCCACCAAGTTCATCTTTTTTTTTTTTTTTTTTTTTTTTTTTTTTTTGAGACAGAGTCTCACTGTATTGCCTGGGCTAGAGTGCCGTGGCATCAGCCTAGCTCACAGCAACCTCAAACTCCTGGGCTCAAGCGATCCTCCTGCCTCAGCCTCCCGAGTAGCTGGGACTACAGGCACGCGCCACCATGCCCGGCTAATTTTTTTCTACATATTTCTAGTTGTCCAATTAATTTCTTTCTAAGTTTAGTAGAGACGGGGTCTCGCTCTTGCTCAGGCTGGTTTCGAACTCCTGAGCTCAAACAATCCGCCCGCCTCGGCCTCCCAGAGTGCTAGGATTACAGGCGTGAGCCACCGCGCCCGGCCCACCAAGTTCATCTTTAAAAATGCTATCTCGAATTCCTCCCTGCCACCCAAAATGTGGCATGAATGAGGAAAGAGTGATATAGGATACAGCATGCCTGGGCCTTCTCAGAACTGCTGGGGAACTTCCCTTGGTTTTCCCTTTCCTAATGAGCTAAGCCACCTCCAGCTTATTAAAAGGGTTGTAAATGTATCATGTTGACCTCTTTTCCGCTCTAGGCTATTATCGCAGGAAGAACCTATGTTTTATTTTACTCCCACTGATAACTATTTTTTAAAAGTCTCATTTTCAAGTACAGATGCTCCTCGACTTACAACAGGGTCACATCCTGATAAACCCATCATAAGTCAAAAATATCACAAGTCAAAAATGTATTTGATACCCCGATAAACCCATTGCAAAGTAGAAAAATCATTAAGCTTAAGTTCTGTATTTATTTTATTTAATTATTTTTTTAGAGACAGGGTCTCGCTCTGCTGCTCAGGCTGGTGTGCAGTGGGGCAATCATAGCTCACTGCAGCCATGAACTCCTGGACTCAAGCGATCCTCCCGCCTCAGCTTCCTGAGTAACTGGAACTACAGGTACACGCCACTATTTTAGAAATGGAGTCTTGCTATGTTGTCCAGGCTAGTCTGGAACTCCTGGCCTCAAGCTGTCCTCCTGCCTTGGCCTCCCAAAGTGCTGGGATTACAGGTGTGAGCCACCATACCTGGCCAAGACTGTGGTTAAAAGTTTATTTCAGTCTAAAAATTATTAAGCTCTCTTCTTCCTGCCCCAGGGTTAGAAGCCCGTAGTGAAGTGTGTCTGTTAGGGCAGGTATAGTGGGTTTCTTCTTCCTTCTTTTTGTCTTCTGCTCCCTTTGTCCCTCTTCAGCCACGCTGCTGTCTCTAGCCCTTGTAGGCTCTGGGAAGGGTTAAGGGGCAGAAGCCAGAGAAAAAGGGCAAAGTCTTATTTCTGCAGCTGGTAATGTCAATCTGGGTGGGGCTCTCGGAGTGACGTGTGCCCAAAAGCTGGCTCTTTCTCTCCCCCAGAGCACTCTTTGTTTTTTTTTCATGAGTCCTTAGAAAAACACTTTCCCACAGGAAACCTAGTGCACCCTTCTTAAATGTGGATGGTCCAGTCTCCACCTGACTGCCCCAGCTCTAACAGCGTGCTCAAATTCCTTCTAATCCTCTCAAGAGGTCCTCTTGGATGGGGGCCCTTTCAGGCTGACACACCCTTCCCGGGTGTGCACTCGTGCCCAGTGTTCTCACCCACGTAGCTCTCTTGGCCATGCAGTTAGGCAGCTCGATCCCTTTCTTTGAGACTCGCTTTAGCTGAGAACTAGGCATTCCAAGTCTTGCGCTGTCCAAACTCTGGGAGCCACGTGTCAAGCCCTGAGTCTGTTAAAGCACCCCTCACTTACCTTGCAGAGCCACAGCACTCTGACAGCCCCTTTCAAGAAACCCACACTCACCAATGTTTTCTTCATCACTCCTGCCTCCTGTGGAAGAGGAGCTTTGGGGCCCTCCTCCACAAACCTTTCACGGATCTGCAGCAATCTGCAGCATGTGGAGATACTTGCCAATTTTTGTCCTCAGCTTTAGGCTTCAGCCAAAATGGAGAATTAGGAAAGCCTCATTTAATGTCCTCTTACCCACTCTTTGAAAGCCAAGTGCTCATAGCCCTTTTAACCTCAGTTCTGACCACTGATCCCTTCTTTTATTTGCCTATGTCTTTTCCACAAGATAAAATATAGATATCTTTCTATCGAATATAATGGGGACCGGTATTAAAATGTCAGCCCCACTGTAATTGTTAGAAGTGTCTCAGAGAGAGCTCTCTTGAATGAGGTTGGTACTATTCACATATGTTTCTTAAGCTTGCTGTCTGCCCCTCACCATGCATCCCTTTCAAGTTTACCCAAGATTGAGAAAATGAGATCTGACAGCACCATCACCAGGTATAAAAGCTACTTCATGAAAGACCGAGGCCAGCAGGTCATCTACATGGTATCTGTGCACTCACCGCTCACCTGTTAGTTTATATTAATACAAGGCAGCAAGTGTAGGAACCAAAAAAGTCAGAGCAAGTCACTTTCCCTACTAACATCCTAAATGGCAGTGTAGCCATTAGATGCCACTAATTACTTATGCTACAGTCACAGCTGGCAGACATCTGGAGTCTGGGACTCAGGTGGTGGAAGAGAGCTGAGCATTAGCCTGCAGCAAGCAATATTGCAGTAGGCAGAAATGACCATCACTTCAAATTGGCCACCAGGGAGTTGGAGAGAGAGAGGATGAATTAGCATTACCTATTAGTGTTTGCACTGGAGACACATTGGTAGCTGCAGCTATCAGATCTAACTGAAGGATTTGTCTAAGGCTGTTTAGGGTGGCTTACGGCCTCAGGGCTAGTAAAATCTGTCTTGTGGGTGAAGACTGGCTGTGCATGAGCCACTGCTCAGAGCCCTGGGCCTGTACCCTGTCTGCACCACCAGGGGGCCTTGAAAATACCTTTAAGGTGTATCAAACCCATGATCTGTACGCATTGAGGGTATTTGGGACCAATAGATAGAGAAGACTTCTCTAAATGTTTCCAGAGAATCAAAGGTCACTTGGGTAAATGATTCCTGAATATCCTGCTGGCGCAAGAGTATGATCAGGTTCATTAAACAAATAAAATCAATTTACTGAGGGCTGTATATGTACCATGAACTTAGCATTCAGTATCTCTAAGTTTTCCCACCACCATTCCCTGCAAAACAAAAGTAAAATTCCTATGACACAGATAAGCAAACAGGCTCAGAAAGATTCACTGCGCTGGGTCACCCAGCTTCTCATGGCAGAGCAGGACTAAAACCCAAGTGTGCACCAAAACTTGCCCTCCATCAGTACCACTCACCTTCACCTCAAGTAAATGTCCCCTCTTTAATTCCCACACCCTGTGGGCGTCCTTGGCTAACTGCCCCCTGTAACTGCACTCATCTCCTGAGCTCTCTCCAAAGATGGTTCCGGAAATGCAGCAGACAGCTATGGGCAAGCAGGCCATCGAAGTGACACCAGCAATCTCCACTGCCTGCCATTGTTACTAATATTTAGATGTGTTCTAGTCAACACCAGCACATTTGGTGGTTTTACACGCAAACTAACCCCATCTCCTCCAAGCCAAACTACTTCATGATAGAGCAGGCATTGAGGATGATGTGCTTCTTTCTGGAGCTTCCTACCCACAAACTCCGTGTTAAGAAAACCCCTTTTTCCACTTTACTGTTGCAGAGTCAAATAAAATGTTGCATATTACTGTCCAGGACTTGATGTAACTGACGAT